TGCCTTAATTTGCATTATTTTTATAATATGAGCTGTATTTACTCTCCCTATTTATGGTGCGGAATGGGGAATTTACTGGGCTACTTGGTGTCTTCTGGGTAACAATCATTTATTTATTTAGTTTTACTTTAGACTCAGCAAAAATTACCCTAATTCTTTTTTCCTTTTAAAATATTTGCATTGCCACCATTTATTTTTATAAAGCAATAACTCCTATCACTAAAATCAAAAGGTCAGAACTTAAACCTTCAAATGAGAGCAGCCATTTAGCTCAAGCCACTGCTAGAAGCCATTTGGATTTCCTTGTTAGAAATTACATTTGAGTTGTTTTATTTATAAGCTACATAAGTAAAATCCATTTTTCATTATTTTCTATTTATGCTTCCAAAAATGGATTAGTCAATCTGATTGATATGTTATTCACAAGACAAGGTTATGGATGATTCTGAGTATAATCAAAAGATAAAACTTTCTATTTTAAAATGAAGACTTCTCAGTGACACCTGAGGATGTTTAAAATAGTATTTCCCAGTCTGGAAAAGCAATTCCAAACGAGGGCTTTCAGAACTTATTAAACAACGGCAGCATCCTTGGATTAGGAGCATGGCTTCCCAAGCCAGTGACTGAAAGACTTACAACTTGCTTGTGTGCATAAATCCAGATGCATTTGTTAAAGAGACCATTCCTATTACATTATATGGACACTTCCAGGTTCACCTGCTGTGGACCCTTTTCTTTTCGTAAACTAACGGAGCTGATATTTCCGTTATAGAAATCTACCTGGTTTTTCTTTTATTGATTGACCAATTCATTTGTGTATGCACTAAGCACCAACTTGGTCATAAGTACTGTTTCGGGTGGGGGCATGGGGTGGGGAGACCACTCAGGAGAAGTGGCATCTGGACTGAGATCTGAAGAGACAGAAGGAAGGAGAGCTACAGCTAGAAGCAGAAGAGAGGACAGGCAGCAAGCAGAGGGCTGTGCAGTGCAGGGGACTACAGGACTCGGCACCCGGGGGAGCTGAAGGTCAGCACCCCAGGAGCCTAGGGCTGCAGGTGGCAGTGGGAAGGACAGTGGCCAACTTCAAGGATCTTGCCACCCCTTCCCCTACTGAACTTGAGGCTGCACTTTTTAAGTCCCACCCTCTGACTCTCACCTCATTTAACCAGCAATAGCAGCTGCATAACAATTAGGAGCAGCTGCATAACAGCAGCAGCGTCAGGGCGGGACAGGCCTGCCTGCTCCTCTTCCACGGACCAAGACCTTGCCAGGTGCTTTTCAAACCCGGTTATATTTCACCCTCACAACTATCTTATGTGGCGGATATGACATCTTTTGCCCCCACCATCCCTCTGTATCTTCTTCTACCAGCTACACAGCCTCTAGTTTCCCTCCATTTCTCCTGTGATGTAGCCTCCTGCCCTCTCACCCTCTAACTATGCTCCAAGCCCACACCCCAGGTCCCTCCATGTCAGCTAAGGTGTAAAACTTTTTCTGTGAAAAAACTATTTCTATGAATGTGGACAAAATTCAACTAAAATATTTTTTGATGAATCAATTCACACTTTGGATTTGCTTTTCTTGCCCATGTGCTGCTCTGCCACGCCACTGCCTGTAGCTGGAGATGCCGTTGTGCAAATGCGTTCGTTGGTGGTGACAATCTTATGAAATCCGTTTGCATGAAGGTGGCCCATTCCTCCAGCTTCTGAAGGCCTTACCTCTCAGTCACACCAGGTAAGATGAAGAACATCCAGAAGTGAATTCCAAACACAAGAATGACCTGGAAGATGACCTTTCCCAAGACAGTCTTCCTGAGGTAGAGTGCTCGGTCCACCACCATGGTCCCAAACTGAATGAGGACCATCACCAGAAACGGCCCAGGGACCTGGTCCTCCGACAGTGACGAGGTGATATCTGCAGCTGCAGAGTGTTTCTGGGGAAGAGACAACAGATTCATGCCTCAGGGGCGCTAGACGGGAAGAAGAGCCATCACTCTCGGTCAACGGATGTGTGGTGGCTTTGCCCCAACCTACCCCAAAGGCCCAAAAGCCAAAGACGATGATGATGAAGTCCACAGTGTCAGCCAGGAACATGAGCACGTACACGTCAGTCACAGCGCTATAGTCTGGGTGGATGAGGTTGTAGAAGAACTGTCTAATGGGCACGTATATTTGTAGAGTCCTACAAAATAGAGACCCCCATCCCTCATTTCAGGAGGGGCAGGATTTGAGGACCGGCAGATTCCGGCCATCACCTCACCCCTGCACTCTTCTTTCCCGCCGGGCCCCACCTTCTCCTCTCAGCCACAGGATCATTCCCCGGGGGTCAGCCCCCGCTCTGATGGAGAGTATGTACAAGTTTACCACCCAGGTGGGTCCTGCAGTGCTCTCCGCCGATGGTACCCCACCCTCTTCTCTCGCTTGCAGAATGACAGAGTGGAGTAAAACCCGGGAAATCAGGAGCTGGGCGTGCAGCCTGATTGGCTGCTCACTACCCGGTGGACCGAGAGTGTGCTACATAACTGCCTTTTCATTTCCTCTTCCATGAAGCTGGGGTGGCAGTAAGAGCTGACACACGGGGCTGGGGGAGAATTACGTGAGGAATCACGAGGGCATTCCCGGATGGTGGGTGTCCCCTGCTCCTCCCGTTTTAGGGCCCTGTGCCTGTTCTGGCTCCCAAGTACTACCCTGGACTCTTCTTTCCACCTTGCTCTGTCCTTTATTACCACGTCCCGCCGGCTCTGGCTTGTCTGTCCAGCTTCTGCCCCACCTTTGCTGCACTCTGGGATCTGCCTCAATTCAAGGCCAGGCTCAGGTGTGGCTGGCTCTCCCGGGCTCAGTGCCTTTACTCAGGGCCCGGCTCTGCATGTAGCTGTCACCTGCTCTGCTCACAGCCTGCAGTCACAGTTCCAATGCACCTCTTCTGTCTCTTCTCCCATCCACTGCCTCTCTGCATCCCCGACAGGTGGGAGGGGCCTGTGCAGTTTGTTGGGGACCGTCTGTACGACACTGGACGCACCATTTCCCCACTGTGCATCCCAGCCCCCATCTCAAGATGCGAATGCATCTCTACAGCCTTCCAGCTTTGACATCATGCTCCTCTTTGTCTGGCTGAACTTTATGGTAATGCCTGGGAATACACACCATGAGCCCTTAGAATTACTCATTTATTCCGTTCAAATAGAAAAACTGTGTGTCCTCACATCTGGTTTATATGAAATAATTGATACCAGTTCCCCAGCCCCAAAATAAAACACGTGACCCAAATGTTTTCATATACTCACTTCTTTATGGTAAATGCTTTTGCTTTGATTAAATGTTCTTGAAGCTTTTCCATATAAAGTTCCCTTTTGCTTTTTTGCTTAATGCTCAAAACACTTCCTTTTTGACTGCTGTTTCGGGTGCTTGTACTGCCTAGAAATAAAAAGAAATCACAAAATGTATGTGAAGAATGGGGTTTGTTAATATAAATATCACAGGAGCCCCCGGAACCCACATGGCAGAGGGATGGCTTGAAACTGTTTTAGAGGATGAATATACACAGAGCCTTTACAGACAGTTATTGGGCAACTTGGAATCTCTCCTCTCAACTCTGCTTCCATACTAAATAGAACTGTGGGGTTTTACATCCCATGGTGCCTCTTTCCTGGATTGCTACACAATCTTTGTCCCAGTAAAAAATATATCAGAAGAACAGTTTTTATAGTGCTAAGTAGGGCCTCAGTGTGCACGTTTTCCACATGGGATCCTTGACCCACACCTGTTTTCATGTCCTAATTTCTCTAACCGTAGAACAAATCTGACATGATCCACCAATGTCTGCCTCAAAAGCAGGTCCTGAAGGTGAATATAAGCAAGTGTCTGGATAGCTTCAGACATGAGCACCATAAATGCAAAAGCCCCGTTCCTCCAAGAGTGGCAGCTGTAGGGCACATCCACTTTCCGATTGTACACGCTGTTGAGGAAGAAATTAATAACTAGCTTAGAAAATAACTAGATGGTTTGGCTAAAAGTTCTCATTCATTAAGTCTAAATACATTTTCAAAATGTGATTTATTGCATTCTAGACACACGCAGAATTTTTGCATATGATTTAAAAATTATCATGTGCCTGACACTAGTCAGTATGCTGGCCGCTTTTCACAATTATCTGAAATGAAATCTTTGTCCTGGGAAAGAATCAGATGTTTCAGCAATGAAGTCACACAGCTGAGACAGGATTTCAACTCAGGTCTCCTGACTTGCAAACAACTTTCTTTTCATGTCACATCTGTCTTTTTCATAGCACTTAGTAAACTCCCCTGCCCTCGACCCACAGGCAACAGAAAAACAAGACAATTTGGGGGTTTATTCCAGCCTAGGGATACCATGTGACAGATACCTCTTTTGGACCTATTTGAGGAAAAGCTGGATCTGTGGGATATCTGGGAGCTGCTCCCAGAGCGTTTCCTCCGGACGGCCATCTGCTGCTCGGGAAAGGTCACATGCACGGACTCTGCTGAGGCGGCCAGGTTGATGGACTTCAGAGAGTCGGAGGAGTCTCTTCTGCCAGGGGTGAGGGAGAGCTCGTCATCGGATTCTTCCTTGTCTGTGCCACTTTCAATAATGTCATCTTCATCCCATAAGCCATGGCACTGCAAAAGCATGGAAGAGGACATTTGAGGCTACCACTTCAGGTGGGACAGCTGGCATTCTGTCCCACACCATCTAATCCAACAAATCGTCCCTCGAGATTAGAAAACCAAGCTTATTACCTAGAACTTTATGATGGTCCCAGGAGAAGGAGATGAGTTTGGCTAATTAATTGAGACAGAAGCAGATAATGTTTGGCAGATGGAGTAAAGATGAAATAATAATCACTTGACTTATTCCTCGAACGAAAGTACTTTTCAGAACGTTCCTCTCTGTGCACTCGCAACTGTCATTTGAAGTATCATGCTGAAGTGTCACTTGGTGACCCAAGCCCCACTACCCCATGCTCACCGCATGCCTTTAATTGAAGAAGGAAGCTGTCCCCACCAGCCTGCAGAGTGAGACGTGGTCTTTGACTCACCCAGGCTGACTCAGAAACAAAGCTGCAAATATTTTACTCAAAAAGTGATGGCCCGCATGTGAGACAAAGACTGAGATGCAGGCTGGTGGGGACAGCTTCCTTCTGCAGTCTGGATTTTGCTTAAAGGACATGGGATGAAAGGGCTGGTAAGAGGGGAAGAGCGAGTACAGAACAGGAGGCTGAGAATCAGGAGTGGGGCCGGGGTGGGGCCCTCAGCACAACTTTGCTCCTGCTGGAGGCAGCTCTCTAGGCAGCTCACAGACTCCAGAGCACCCAGACTATCAGGCCATGCGTTTATTCCCCAAGACCCGGCTCAGCCCTCCCTCTGACATACTTCAGAGGATGAGAGCTCCGGGACAAACACTTAAAAATCAGCCAGTCAAAAACCAAGTCAGAGAATGATCAGTTCTCTGGAAGACAAAGTCACACTATCGACAGATTATTCTTAAATACTTATTTATAAATATATATTTTTAAACATATTCAATGAATGTATTCTTATAAACGTGACAACCGTTTCAGCTTTTCATAACAGGATTTTTCAGTTTATATGAATTTCTCTCAAATTATTTTAAGAGTTGCTTTCTCTTTTGCCAACATCTTAACATATTTAGATTCTGTCATCTTTTTCTCAGCAGCATGTTTATTTTTATTACTTATTCTAATTATTAATGAAATGCACAGCAATTCATACTAAAAAGGATTATTTGAAGCACTTTTGAAATTTCTACATAGTTTAAATTGTTTGGTATTCATAGTAGCATTGTATAAAAGGCTTATTTATTTTTCAAAAGTTGTGGGGTAGTTTTGTTTTCCTATGAAAAGATTTATTCCAAAAAAGTATTCTTCATATCATCAGCATAATATCAGTACCTCAAATCTCATATACATTCACT